GTTATTACCAGTATGGTACAGCAGGTTGTGTGTGTGTTTAATGTGCTGTAGTTTGTCTGGAGCCGGGAGAGCTCTCTCCACTGTGTGACTAAATGTCTCTGAAGTTCAAGTCGCTTTTAGGAAAAAAAAAAGATTGATTAATTTAAATTCAAATTTTACTGTTGAACGAGAAGTTAATGTAAAGTGAGAGAGCGTCTGAACTTAATTATTTCAGCACATTTCATTATGATTGTAAAACACTGAGGATTTACGGTGAAAACAAAGAAAGCGTCATCTCGCAACTGCTGTGGAAATTGAAAACGATCATGTAAATGTATGTAAATGCAGAAACTACTGAGACAATATTCAAACTGCTCATGTCTGGAAAATGTTTACCCTGAGCTGGAAAGGTAAAGATGTTTAAAGTGTTTAAAAATATAATATAATATAAAACCTTCCTTCCAGGTCCTGCAGCCAGATTTCAGGATGAACTACTGCCGGCTCTGGATGTCTCTGATAAACAGGGACCTGGCCGGGGTGGAGCGTTACAGTCGCAGACTTGGGGCTGGAGATCTGTACCCCCTCTTTGCTTGTGTGTTGACGGCTCGCTCCTGGAACTCTGTGAACGCTGGCATCAGTTCTGTTCCCGTCACGCAYGCAGAGGTATGATGGTGTTTTCTGAATGCGTCTTCCTTTACCTTTGTTGTCAAATGTCATTAGGTTAAGGCACAATGAAATAAAGGTGTCAAAAAAAAAAGCCACAACATTCTCTAAAGTGATGCAAATCACCCGCTGCCATATGCCAGTGTTTTTAACTAAGATCATCTCATATTGGAAAATGACCGTTTCAGCTAAGCATTAAAGGAGACATATGATGCTTTTAAATCATTTTTTACATTTAAATCCTTCAGTTGGGGTCTATATAAAGTGGAACTGCAATGCTTAGGTCTGAGTTCCTCCTCAGTGTAATTCCACAAGCCACACCCCTTTTCTGAGGTGGGTCTGGGATCAACTCGTTTTAAGGCTGTCTCTTTTAATCCAAACTAGGTGCTTCACACCCCGCCGCCCTCCAGCTTCCAGACTGGTTCATTCTAATTTGATAGAGGGGTTTACGACTATATAGCTGCGCAGAAACTTTTTATTTACAAATTAAAAGATGTTAACAAGGGAAGACTTGACGTAAAATTGACGAAAATTTGAAATAATAGTTCAGAAAACGTCATAAAAAGTAAAGATATACAGTATATTGCCTCCTAGAGACTCAAGTTCACAACAAAATGTATTTAACAGCTAAAAAAAGTGAATTTTGCAGGATATGTCCCCTTTAAACTATTATCTCATGTTGGAAAATAACAGTTTTAGTCATTTTGTGGTAAACGTTGAAAATAATTGTCATTAAATCAATATGGTGACATCATGTCTGATGTCACAGTATTTTATTTTATGCATTGTGAATGRCTGTCATTACTACCACACCTCATTTTTGCTCATTACCTATAAAATTCATGGTAAATCCCAGATTTTTTCAAGGTAACCTTCTTAAAGTATCAGTAAATCATGAAAAAATAAACATATTTTGGCATCTTAATTCTGTAAGAACCAAACAAAAACACAAGAGCTAAGAGGTTAGCAGCTGCATGCCACAGTTACAGTGAACTGATCACAGGGTATGCGCCATGGAACTTAATTTATGGTAATATTTATGCTACAAAGTTGATTGTTTATATTATATTTAATAATTTAGTTTGAAAACTCACAAAAAGAAAGCATGTGAGAAAAAAAATACATTCCTTGCTTACAAAACTGGGTATTTCTAGTTCCTGCAATATTACAGGGAACTTGATGATACAGAGGATTACCT